GGATCGGTTGAATCAAGTGAGATGACCACTTTTTTTGTCTAACTTCTCCAAATAATCAAATTTTAAAGCTGCTTTTTTTGTCGTATATACCGCTGGTCAATATGACCGATAGGTTATGACAGCTGCAGAACACTGATGGATGATCAAACCTAGCGATACTGGAGAAGAAAATTTTTTTTTTATTACTTTGGTCTTTCTTATACCTGTTACATAGAAAAATTTAATTTACTATTTGTAATAAAGCATAAGAAAGTAACGTTTGAGTTGAACCTGTTTACCGTTATCTTCTAGTATCCTGCATTTGCGAGGGTTATGTAGCTTTAAGATTTTTCTTCTTTCAATATCGGCTCTATCAGCGAAGAAATAAAATATTATGACTTTGATGTTGAGTTCATATGAAAAAAATGCTGAAAGACCAATGTTGATAATAGAATTTTAAAGTTGATTTATTTTAGAGTATGTAAATCAAAAGCGATAAATACCGTTGAAAGTAAATTATCAGGTAAGATTATGTCATAAAATAGTCTTGTTTACTGAAGATTTGATCAAATTTTAGCAATATACCATTTTGATTAGACTAAATTAACCTTTAAAAGCCAGCTTAAAATACACATTTTGTCTGCTGTATTGTAGCGGTGTTAAATATCTTTTGAGAATTTTATACAAATGATTCAAATAGGTGAATGACTTATTGTGGGGCCAAAATTGGTGACCATTCCTTGGAGAACTGTAATACTGTAAGCAGCTTTTGCTATTATTTTTATCTGTAGTTCCCTAAGAGTTTTTTTGCTTACAATTTTTAGTATATACTGAAAATAAAATGGTAATAGTGGCGATAATTGTTGGTGACAACGCTTGAAAGGTAATATAAAATTGATATGTTTCTGACATTAAACAGTTGATAGCAATCGTCTAACCCATATTCATCTTTTACACTTCAAGCTTCTAGGCAGTTTACATTAAGCTATCTTACGGCATCCAATGTTTTTTCATTTAACGCTGTCTCTGTTGAATTATCAAATAATATACGAAAGAAGAAAAAGGCATAATACTAAAAATTTATTCGTTGAAATATTTGTTGATTTCATAACGCAAACGTTATTTTTTTTTTCAGTATTTTTTGCCTTCTTTTTTTCAAAATTACCTTTTTCTTTATGTCTGAATTAGTTGTTCATCCAAAGGATTCATTTATTTGATGGTGACAAGGAATACAAACAACTGAATTCATTGTTCGATTTTGGTCTTTAATACCCGTAGCAATTCCCATAATTTCTTTTCATCTCTTCCTTTTTTTTTTTTTTGTTTTGGAGGTTTGGCGGTAATTGTTGGTGACAACGTTTGAAAGGTAAAAAAGCATCTTTTGTTTGACACATTTCCTCTGCTCTTTTTGAACTATAGGAAATCAAACTAAACAATTTTTGCCTCTCACTGCTTAGCTGATAAGTATATAAACGTCGTACAGTGTATTTTATAACTAACACTTTATTGTTTTCTACAGACATTGTATTTGTCTGATTAATACATTACCAGATCAACAGGCATAAAAATACTAAGCAAAACAGCGATTCGTGGCTTGTTTAAAAGTGCAGTGTTCATAGTTACAAACTTTTTAGTTTACTGGTAGAAAAAAGAATTTGAAAATTTGGCAAAATTATGAAGTATTTTTTTATAGCTGACTTAATGGCATAAAGAAGTTTTGCTTTTGGGTCTATTATTATAGAAGTGTGGCATACTTCTAGATGCTAATCGTAGATTTCAGAGAGTCAGTAAATTTGTCGCCAAATTGATGTTAAACTTTAAAATGTTTAGATAAAAAGTGTTTGAGACACATGGCTATATATATATCTTTCTTAACAAATGCACATATATATGCACTTTTGAACATAAATTTTTGCAACCTGTTATGTATTTAAAGATGTTTACAAAGGCGGAATAAAGAAAGATAATTTTTTAGATTATTGGAGTGAAATTATCAGTTATAGCACACATTTTTTTATTTCGCATTTTTATTTTTTTGTTTTTGCTTGTTTATTTCGGTAAAAGATTTAATCTTCAGAACTGTTACTGAATGTAATCTATCAATATTGTGGTCCAAACTTGCACGGAAAATTTTTCTTAACATACGTTCAACGGTGTTCCAGTGCAGTAGCTGAGAGTTTCGGTATTGCCTGTTATGCAGTTATGAAGGAAAACTGATGCATTGAGTGGCAACTCACTTGACTTTTTGCAGTTGAAAACATCTGTTCTTTTCATGACTAGAGTGATTATTCGGTGAATTTTATTTCTAGAGATCGCTCGGTAACAAACTGATTTCTAGTTGCTGACAAATACCACGTAGTCTATCACCAGCTAAGTGGTGGGAGTTAAGGGACAGCTTTGCAAATAATGCTTTCTTATTTTCTTAACTGTTTCAGTAAAACTTATTTGTTTCTTCATAAAACAGACGTTCAGTCGGTACAGCCCAAACCACAAATTTTTCACTCGTTTACCTCTTGCAATAATGGTTCTTTCTACTAGAGAATTTCTCAGTTTTTTCTTTTTATTTTTAATGCTGAATGTTTTTTTAACTAATGGTTTGAAGAATTTTTCTAAGAGACATCTGAAGATACAGAAACTTCACAGCATCTTTCTGATCAATTGTTTTTATTTGTGTTTTTTTCAACTGATGTTATGTACATGCTGTCACAGTATTCACCAAAGTTATATAATGTAATAAGTTCAGAAAGTATTTTTTGATCACACCTGTCACCAGTACACATTCGCTGTATTCTTAGATAAAAGTAATGATCGCATGATCAGTGCAATCGCTTTTATAGTTCATTGTCATTATGATCACAACTACCGTAGTTCACTTACGCTCAGTTTTTAAGCTGGTTATTTTAAGCCTTCACACGTTGCTGCTTTACCGTCATTTAATTGGCGATATTACGGTGCAGTTTGCTGACGTAGTGTCAGACATCGGACAAGTACCAAAATTTTAGTAAACGCCGGTTCATTGATTAATAAGAAGCAAAAACTTTCTCATTGAACGACTTCAGGTTGCATGCAGTGCCTTGACTTCCATGTCGTCAAGAATAAAGTTTTTAGAGCCAGTTCATGTATTTTGCATGAATACTTACAAAGGTTTTTATATAGAAAATTTTTAGAACTGACTTTTTCATAACGGAACGTAAATATTGCTGTCTAACTGTCCTTTGAGCGAACTTTTTGAAGCTGTTTCAAAAAAAAAAAAAAAAACCTTAGAAGTTTCTAACTGTCTACTGTTTTCGCAACGTTGGCTGTATGAAGTCATAACAGATAATCCGGAATACTGCACGGTATTGAATTTTCGTTCAAGTTTAAAATTGTTGAATTAATTAGAATTTTTTGTATCGTTTTTTATGAGAGGAAAAAGAGAATGACGAGGTAAATGAGAAAGAGGCTTTCATTATATATGAACGCTAAAACTGCTCTTCTTAGCTGGCTTAACTTTTCACTAAAACTGATGGAAAGTTGAACAATTTTACAGTTTTGAGTTACATGACGAAGAATAAAGCAATAAAGCAGTGAAAAAACATAACTGTGAGGTGATAACGAACTGATGTTGAAGGAGAAGAGAGATAATAGTAGTTGCTTGAAGATAACGGTTAGAAACGAAAATGCTGTTGTCAAACAAATTGGTTATTGCGGTTCTTAACCTCCAAAATTTATTAAAAGCATCTGATATTAGCTAAAGTGCTGCAAGCAATCAAAACAACTTAAATTTAGCGCTATTACTTCTTCTGACAATGGCGGGAGTTCAACTGCATAGCAAGTTAAAGACTAAGGATTAGCAGCATGGCGGGTGGCTGCTGGGAAAGGTATAAAAGTCTCGTTGGGTTCCCGACGTCAGCTATGTTCTCTGTGTTTCCTCAAATTTCTTCTTCCCTTCTTCAACCGAAATGTTCATGCTGTTTGCACATATCACAGATTTTTGCTAACCATCTGTTTTCCGCTGTTAAATTTTTTCGTTTATTTTGTTGTGTTTATGCTTTGCTGTTGGATGATTGTTATTTAATTTGTTTTGTTAGTCAGTCTTCGCACATTTCATGTTGAATGCTAGAGAAGGACTAGTGAAAACTGCGCGTGTTTTTTTTCTCTTTTTTTTCGGTTGTAGAAAGTTCCTATTCAATGCTTGAATTTTTGTGCACTGAAATCAAATTTTGGGCATGGAATTGTTGCGGTATATTTGCTATATTCTTTTATTGCTTCTTCAACTTATCAGTGTTTATTGTTCTAACAGTCGAAAGGTGAAAAAAGTGTTTTTTTTTTTGAAACTATTTCTGCACAGTTCCTTTCAGGGTTCATTTTAACAACGCAGTTTGATGGTCTTTTTAAAAACTTGGAGCACTTTGAGACGATATATCATCGTGGGCGGTGGAGTTGTTTCGATAGCTGCAGGATTACTTTATTATCTGGATGCTACCAACGAAAGTCGCTTCAAACGAGCTTTGGTAAGATTTTTTTGGCTTTACGTATTTGTGTTACATTCCGATTTCTCCATCTTTATAATGCTTCAGAGCAATGTTTCTTTTACTGTTGCTTGTATTAATGAAACGCCAGTGATCAGTTTTCTTCAATTTTCAAATGATTTTGTTCAAAAAACTGTTATAGCCAGTATAGTCAACTTTGAGCATTAGATGAGTCTTTCTTTCCTTTAAGTACAGTTTTGTTTTTTGCTCTGTAGTATTGTTTTTTATTAGCGATTAAGATATGCAACTGCTCATTCCAATCTGTTGGCTGAACTGAACAAGCGCCAGCCAAGTCATTTGCCGTCTCGAAAGGAGCTAGTCCAGGTTTTAGTTTTATCTGATACTCCTAACGTTTCCTTCACGGTCATAAAGCACGCTGGATTTTTAAAGGTTCAGGTAACGACATGATAACCTATATATTTGTTTTTTTTTT